TTGAATATCTTCTGGTTAAGATAGCGTGGTCTCTTGCCATACTTCCTGTCTTTCCTACACGAGTGGGATAGTTTGCTTTTGTGCCCTTAATAATGTCTTCTGTAAAAACTGACAACTCTCTTGAACCGTTTTTTCCCTTAGCCTTGCTTCCCATAGGATCTGACCTACCAACTCCCTGAGTTTGCTAAAGTCTGTTTTCTTGAAATCCATTATATTTACTGGGCTGTTTTCCCTCCCACCATTCCTTAGAATCATGAACTCTATCATTTCATGATCACTTTCATCCAAGCTGACCTCCACTTTTAAATTCTCAGTCAGTTCCTCCCTATTTGTCAAAATCAAATCTAAACCAGCCTCTCTCCTAGTAGCTCTCTCCACCTTCTGAAATAAAAAAAATTCTCCAATACACTGCAAGAACCTGTTGGATAATCTGTGTCCTGCTGTTATTTTCCCAACAGATGTGTGGGTAGTTGGAGTCCCCCATTGCCACCAAGTCCTGTGCTTTGGATGATTTTGTTGTTTAAAAAAGCCTCATCCACCACTTTTTCCTGGTTAGGTGGTCTGTAGTAGACCCCTACCATGGCATCATCCCTGTTTTTTACCCCATTTATCCCTTACCCAGAGACTTTCAACAAATCTGTCTCCAATTTCCATCTCAACCTCAGCCCACGTGTATACATTTTTAATATACAAGGCAACACCTCCTCCCTTTTTTCCCCGCCTGTCCTTCCTGAGCAAGCTGTACATTTCTGTACCAATATTCCAGTCATGTGCATTATCTCAACAAGTCTCTGTGACGCCAGCTATGTCACAGTTGTGTTTATTAACTAGCATTTCTAGTTCTCCATACTTCTTGCATTAGTATACAGACATCTAAGATACTAATTTGATTTCCCCTCTATGTACTTTCTTGTCTCCCTCACTGATCCCTGTGATAATGGCCCATGCTCCCCCAAGAGTCCAACCCTTTCCCCACATCTCTATGTTTTTTACTTGCCTGTGGGCTTTAGTCTCCTGCCCCCATTGAACTTAGTTTAAAGCCCTCCTCACTAGGTTAGCCAGTCTGTATGCAAAGATGCTCTTCCCCTTCCTCAATAGGTAGACCCTATCTCTGCTCATAATCTAACATATTTATCCTCTCAACACCCATGTGAGGTAGGGAAGCATTGTTAGGTACTGCATGCTGTCTGGGTTTCAAAGCGTTTTATAGACCATGAAACTATACAACACCCCTTTGAGAAAGATAATTCCCAACCCTATTTCACAGACGGGGATCTGAGGCACGGAGATAAGTAACTTGACCAGTGGAACTGGAATTGAGCCCATATTTCCCAACAGTCCAAGGTAGCAGTCTCGCCACTGGACAATCCTTCCTCTCCCAGTCCAGGACAATCTGGGTTCTATTGCTGCTTCATATTCACTGTGAGATCTGTCATTATTCGGTGCCTTGATTTCTTCTTCTATAGAATGGTGAGGATATTTTCTCACAGGAATGTTGTGTAGTTTGTCTATAAAAGGCTTTGAAATGCTCAGAGGTATTCAAAGGTAATTATTTCCATGGCCTTGGATACATGTTATTCTTGAATAACTTTGCTGGACAATTTTCACGTGGGAATAGAAATACAAGTACTTTTGAGAGGATTTGGGGATGAGTGCAACCAATAATAATTGTTGCAGTTGGAAAACTACCATATGAAAGGATGAGGAAGAAATCATAGAGGATGTTAATAGAGGCAAAAGGGAGCATAAGGTGCAAAGGGTGAGTGAAAGCCAGTGTGGTGCAAAACTTTTGTAAGAGACCCAAGACATGAGCCAGGTTTTCTGACAGACTCTCAAACTTTTCATTGAAACTGGGCCACCTTTCTGGAAGAGTATGTATGGTTTCAGGCAGGTGACAATCCTTCTCTATGGTTCACATTCAGCACTACCTGGACACTATATAACTAGAAAGAAGCAAATGAAAGAGAGCAACAAAAATTCAGTGTTCTGAAGGGATTGACTTGTGGAAAGAGGTAAATGTGTATAGATTAGTTTATAGATAGCTAAGGGCTAATTAACATGATACATCTACAAATATTTGAAACGGTACATACCTAAGAACAAGAAAAATTCTTTGCGGTTGTACATACAGGTGCAACTAGGAGCAGTCAGAGAAAATTAAGAAACTAAGAACTTTCTGAAAGTGTTTGACTGGAATATTCTTCCAAGGGAAACGATGCAAGCCTCCTTGTTAGAAACATTTAGATCTGGAGTACAAAACAAAGGAAAATGGCAACAGTCCTGCATTGCCAGGAGAGTGGATGTAATGGGCCTTTCCCACTCTAGTTTCTTTGATTCACCCTTAGGTAAAAAGAAAAGGAGTACTTGTGGCACCTTAGAGACTAACAAATTTATTAGAGCATAAGCTTTAGTGAGCTACTCATGAAAGCTTATGCTCTAACAAATTTGTTCGTCTCTAAGGTGCCACAAGTACTCCTTTTCTTTTTACGGATATAGACTAACACGGCTGCTACTCTGAAACCCTTAGGTAAGTGATCTTGCACATACTGGGTGAAAACTCTGGGTCAAATTCCTGGCATTCCCCACAGGAAACTATTTTGTTTCAAAGAAGTGAAACAATAAAAAAATCAGAATTAACAACTTTTCTGGCATGATCACAAGGCTCAGCAACAAGCTGAGAAACATAATGCTGAGGGGTCTACCTTTTGGGTGCTCTCTTCATTCCATTGGAATAAGAAAAATTAGTGTCAGTTCAGAAAAGGCAATGAAGAAAAAGATAAATCCATCCTGACATGGTATAGATAAGGCACACATAATGATCCTCTGCTATTGGCTTCACCAAATCTTCAGTGAGAAAAGATAGGCAGCCTGCTTAGGCTCTTGAATATAAGAGACTGCTACAAAGGCATAGACCCAGCCCCTACCAGTGCATAATTAAATTCAAAAGGTTGTGAAGGAAATGTCATTATTAATCCTTTTAATTAGTTATACATAGGTAGGAAAAGATGGGTGGTTGTGTCAAGGGGGCAGGGGGAGAATTGAACATCTAAACTATTGCTTATGTCTGCTGCTAGTGACATAATAGCAGAGAAGCACAAATGCTCCTCTCTGACATGATAAGACCATCAGAACTGGGAGTCCCTAATTCCTTTTTTGCCTCACACCTACTTCCAAGGAAAAACAGACAAGGGAGATATAAGGGAGGTTACCCTGGATGGGTGAGGGTGGGGCTTGATAAGCTAGGGGGCAGAGTCAGACAACAATTCTCTCTGCACCTATGAAATCTGCCATATGTAGCTGAGGAGCAGAGAAGAGGAGAAAAGGGACGTACAATAGGAGAGAGTATGTGCTGCTTGCCAGATGGTTTCAGGTTTTTCTTCATTTTATTTCTGTGTGTGTGTGGAATCTCCTTTTTTTTGATTAAGCACGCTAGTTTTTGATGTAGCTTTGGTTGCAAATGCTGATTAACAGACCTTTGTTCGTAGCACTTGTCTGGTTACCCTTAAGCCCTGTAAAATGAATTGGAATGAGTGAGAATAGTTCTGATATTTGTTTAACCTCAGTTCCTCTTGTGAATTGGGTGGGCTGAAAGGCTTCTTGCTTTAAATTTGCAATTGTTCCCGATAGCTTTTTAGCACGGAGGGAAATGGCTAGAGAAAATTGAGATTAGAAGTATTTATCCGTCAGCTGTGTGATTAACAAGGATATTTTTCTCATTGCAAAATGCATTAAGGAAAAAAATAGTTGACTTGGTAACAAGTCCACTACCCCATGTAAACATTTCATGAAATACCTTGGAAGAGAGGCTCTGCTTAGAAGTATTAAAATGACAATTTATTCACTCATGCGCTGAGATCTTAAGCAACAGAACAAATAAATTTAATTTGACAAAAACCAGGCAATTAAGGCTGAAATTCCACTTTCAATTATTCCGTTATGCTGAGGTAATAGCAGATCATATGGTATGTTTGAGGCCCCTCTGACAGAGGAGCAAATCAACTGCAAATAATAGGCATCCTGACTTGAGTTCTAGCCATCATTTTAGCAGTAATTCCCGTATTGCCTTGCTTTTGTGAGGGCAAGCAAAACTCGGAATATTTATATTTTTATGGACATGTGTAAGAATTGAGGCAATTTTAAAAATGTCTCTTCAGAAAATAGACTTCTAACACCTGCAAAACTGTTATACTCTGATATAAAAATAAATGTAGACGTGTTAGTAGGTGTTAGACTATAGCTATTCAAATCTGTCTTATGAAGTACATGCTGAGCTTTATTGGCCAAATTTTCCACACTGTTCCACCAACAGGATTTCACTTAGGTCAGTGTAATTACCACCAATATAAAGTTGTTGTAAAACAGAATCAGGCCCTATAGCTTTCATTTAAAGAAACTGCAACAACACAGATCTTCCAAAATTGTGAGTTAAAGGAGCATAATAAAGTTCCAGTCCTGCTTTGTTGTTGTTCTTGTTGCTGCTTGAGCAAAACTCAAACTGAGCACATCAGGAGTTACAATTGCAGGATCAGGCCTCTTATGCCTGAAATTGCTCATTCTCAATCTTAAAATGGTTCTACAATGTAGACGTCCTAGCCAAGTCTTTCAGAATGCAACATAATAATGAAGCTTCATATTTTAAACCTATGTATACTATGCTTTAGCCCACAGCGAGCTTATAGTCAATGTATAGACTCTCAGAAAACAGAAGCACTGATAAATTTGCAGCTGTAGCAGTTCTATCTGCAGGAAAGGAGATTTCTGTATTCACTGAATTTAAAATGATTTGATAGAATCACCTAAGAGGAAGGTAAGGTGCTTCCGTTACTTGTGTTGTGCTATTTTAGTAACCTTTAAGCCTGTTTTTGTTTAATTGTCATGACATTGAATCTAAGTTTTCCACCCCCTGCAAAAGTCTTACCGTCTAGTTACTTCTTGTGTCTCCATTGTCTAATATGTTCTTCTGATTTAATTTCAGAGCCTCTGAGTGACAACAGGTGACAGGCTGGTGGCTCACACTGTTGTGTCACAGAGGAGTTCCAGGATAACGGCAGAAAGACATCTTATCAGTTATTGGAGAACACCCAGGACAGAAAGGATATACAATACCTTCTTTTATGATTTTAAATATTGATCAGGGTTAGCAATACCTGTGCTTCATTACAGAATGTCCTGTGGTAATGGTGAAACTGGTGGGCACTCTATGTATAACCTCTGTGGTCAGGGTCAAAGCTCCAGCGCCCAGTTAGGTAGTCTGCATGGTCATAGGAAGTCTTCAGGATTGTTGGAAGTCACAGGGAACCTAAACAATAAGCAATATTCTTCAGTGGCACTAGCTTCAGATACCATGGTGAATAATGGATCAGGAATTCCCCCTAACTCTGAGGAAGACACAAAGGATTCAGCATTCCAGCTCAGCAACCCGCCTATGACAGAAAGTGAAATCCGTAGGACCTACACTACGAAGTGTTTCTATGGCCCTTACTTAACCAAAACTAGTATGCAGGGAGATGTCTACAACTTCCTGGAGAGGCCTAGTGGATGGAAGTGTTTTATTTACCATTTTACTGTGTAAGTACCTATACTTTCACATAATTTCTGATGTAAGAGCTATATGAAAATGTGCACTCATGGTCTACCGGAAAACAGAGTACTATGAGTCAGTCTGGCATCCTTACTCACATGGAGAGTCTTTGCTCACATGAGTAATCCCACTGAAATGGATGGAACTACTTGTTCCAAAAAGGATCAGGCCTTATACATGTTAATTTTTCTAGTGTGGTTCACTGGAGTCCTTCAGTGTTTCTATTTTTACTTGTGGCTTCTCTTTCAACTACTGTGCTTCATCCTTGCTATATCCAAGACAAAAAAGGTCCAGTACTATTACCACACTTTTTTTTATCTCTGTCTTAATTTATTTACATTGTTCCAGTAGACAAGGAGATGTATAAGACTTAGTTCTGGTCAGATACATCATATGACTGTAGATGCGCATTGATCATCCTGCAGTTGCAAAATTGACTTCAAGCCATTTTTTGAAGTCAACTTCTTGTACAAACACCTGAATGCTACACTTCTAATTTCAGTTTGGGTTAATTTACACAACTTGGAGTTATCAGTATTCCATAGGAGCTTTGCAGCAAGTTAGTCATTTTACCACTTGTGCAGTACACAGTGAGGGGAAATGAAGGCTTTGATTTATCCGTGTAGTAGCAAATTAATACAGCTGTTAATATTTTCTTTGAGCTGCTTATAGCATCCACCAGGACAGTACAGTTCAGTTATCACTTTACATGCTGCTTAAGGGCAGCAGTGAGGCCCCCCCCACCCAGATTAACAGACTCATGCTCGTGGGGCTCATGCTGCCGCGCTAAAAATAGCTGTGTGGACATTGCAGTTTAGGCTGGAGCTTCGGCTTTGAAGCCTAGAGAGAGGGGTGGGCTTCAGAGCCCAAGCTCCAGCCCGAGCTGAAATTTAGAAATGCTGCCCACAAGGCTATTTTTAGTGTAGTAGCGCAAGTCCTGCGAGCCCCAAGGCTGGCCTTAGGGGTGGGCCATTCAGGCGACCGCCCAGGGTGCCCTGGTCAAGGGGGGCGCTGTGCAGCAGCGCAGAACGCGTGCTGCCAGTGTAGTGTCGGAAACTGCTCTTGGCTGGCAGGGGAGTGCCGCGTGGGGGCATGCCTAGATTGCTCCCTGCTTCCTCCCGATGGAGGGGAGAGCAGTGTGGCTGGATGGGTGGGGTGGGGGGGGGGGAGGCAGTGATGACGCACAGGTACTGCTTGCCTCCCCAATGTTCCTCTGTGCCCCCTGGGGGGTGTAAGTGGGGAAGTGAGAAGCAACGCCAAGCGCTCCGTGCATCCAGGTCACAGCCCAGGTGGGGAAAGTGACCTGGATGCTGGGAGCCTTGACGTCGCTCCTCCACTCACAGCCCGCTAGGGCGCGCGGAGGGGCAGCATGGGGGGTGGGGGTGGAAAGGAGCGAGCAGCAATGCCAGCTGCTCCGTGCATGCAGGTCAGTTTCCCCACGTGGGCGCAGAAGGGGAGTGCAGGGATTAGCAGGCGCAGGAGGGAAGTGCAGGGGTTTAGGCAAAGTGAGCAGAGTGCAGGGGTTAGGGGCACAGGAGAGGGATGGGGAGCCTGGGAACCCATGGAGGCCAAGGGAAATGGGTGGCACCCAGCGGGCCAGGGGAGCCAAAATACAAGTTCACCCAGGACACCATTTTCCCTAAAGCCGGCTCTGGCGAGTCCTAATCTGTCGACCCAGACTGGGAAGATCTCTGCCATGGGCTGCCATGGGACATACCTTAACAGTAATTATTATTTGCTTTTTGCTACAGTAAAGGGCCTGATCCTGCCCCCATTGAATCAAGTGGGAGTTTCACCATTGACTGAGATTAAGATTGAGACAAAAAAAAAAGTCTTTGTTATGAAGAAAAGTGGAGAATATAGCTCTTGTGTTTGTCTCTGGTGCTTTCTTAGGGCCTGATCATGCATTCCTTATCCTTAGAAAACCATCACACATTTCAAGTGAGCAAGTCAGTGTCAAATGCCTACTTTTTGGAAAAAACACTTAGAAAGATACAGCAATGTTTTAAAATGAGGGTAAACCATGATGCCTCTGTTAGTCATAAAGTAGATAGTCTTATTACTATTTATTTCCATTCTGCCTCAAGATTATCTTGGGTTTTATCAAATGATGTTTTGATTCATGAAATTTTGCCAAGTAAACGGATAGGGCCTCTTTCAAGGATTATACTTATAGTATATAATCATGCCTAAGGCTTAAACAGATTTCATTTGTGTAGATTTAAATATGTGAATGGTCATGGTTTAAGCCTATTTGAGACTGGGATTTATTTCTCACTAAAATGCGTTTGAGATGTGAAATACTGATGATGAGAGCAAACTAAGGTTGACCTTTAATTTGTGCTTGTGGCAGTGATTTTTTAAAAAACTCGACCACAGTTGGGGGACACCACTGGAGTTAATAGAAAATTATTATTATTATTTTTAGTGGCATAATGATTTTAGTAAAACTAAAAACCACTTAATTCCTTCATCCACCCCACTGTTAAAAACTTTTCACTAAGAAGTGCTTATTTTGATTAAAAGAAAACTTGTAAACGATTCTTTAGACATTAGTTGCATCCAAATGTCCACCTAAGTGCTTTAGCTCCCTAATGATCATATAGTATATACATTTACAGTACAAGGATTTTTACAAAGTGTAGATATACCATACAATAGTAAATATGAGTAAAGGCCATAATGACATGAATAAAAACTGAGTATCAAAAGATGAAATGTAATTATTAATTTTATTATTAAACTAAGCTGGTGTCTTAAAAAGACACTTTAAAAATGTTGCCCATTTCATTTATGCATTACAGACATTAATTTGTAAGTGATCCACGTGTTACATGGATCATTAGGATCTTAATGCCCTTCTTTCTTGTATGTAACTGAAGTTTTATGACTAAATCTTTCTGTGTAGAATGTGGGGAATTGGATGCACAGCTTTCATTAACTCTCCTCAAATTCTTCACATACTACAGTGACAACATTAGTCATTTACAAACCTGTGGGGAACTAATATCCAAATGGGACTGGAGTCAGATAAAAAAAGACAGGTACTTCCAGTTCAGCTATGAAAAGTGCACATACTGTGAAAAAAGGCAAGGCAGGGTGACCACAAGTTTGGACAAGTGAACCCTGAAAGCACTCTCATGAACAGAATGAAAGATTAAATTTGTGGGCAGAAGGAGAATAGAGGGCAGCAGAGATAGCAGTGGTGCACAGTATATGGTGTCTTGATTCTCTTTTGTGCCAACCATTTTTCTGTTCCTACTGAAGCTCCTTAAAGAATTGGGTATCAATATATCTTAGAGTCCAGCTGCTGACCATATGGTCTTTAGTCCAGACACAGGAATGCCTTGCTTGAATTTAGTTCTAAACTATTGTATGCGTTTGCTTAAATCCCACTCACATGCCAAGATAGCACTGTATAACCCTCAGATTTTGTTTTTGAAGTAGTTGTGTGATGTGTAATTTTGACCCTGGGGTATTGTAGCATGGCAGACAAATTCACTTTAATAAGACATAGGTATTGTGTTTCTCCCTTTATGCACCAAAGTTTTGCTTTTTATTCCTCCAATTACTTTCTACTATGAGCGTAAAAAAAGATGAAAGTAGATTATATTTAATTGAAGTTACTATGCAAATCCAGATAGCTAAATCCTTTAGCTATGATTGGGACATCTTATATGTTTTGTATCTTGGTGAAACATTTTGTTAGTTTGCATTTTGAATAACAAGTGGCTGGATTATAATCTAAAATACTGTTAGGTTTCTTAAATATCTCATTTAGCATAGGCATGCCCTTTGGCTGGAAAGAGATAAGGGCAGCCAATTTTCCTCAATGACAAAATGATTCCACCCCAGTTTAGGAATCAGATAACAATGAACACAAAGCATAGTAAATACATTTTATCTGACTAATGTTCTAGACTATGTGACAGGGTATGCTATGTGTCCAGGTCTTCGGGGACCTCCCAAGAGTTTGGTGAGAGACATTTCATTAGGATTCAAATGCACAGTCCAGTTTTCATGCCAGATCTCAGGGGCAGAGAAGCTGACTGGGAAGGGGTAAGTGGTCAGAAAATAGATGCAGCTGAGGTTCACTGTAATGAAGTCCCAGATGGCAAATATGAAGACACAAGAAAGTTGTGGCTGATGGCGGGGAAGTGGTTTTTGTTATATGTGCACCCTAGAAAAGGAAACGACTTTCATTTAGCTGGTTGTTCATATCCTGGCAAGGAGATAAGGATTCTGTTCTTTTCTGACTGCAAGTGATAGAGAGGACATTCTGTGTCAGATACAGTGAGCTGAGTAGCACCGAACAACAAGTAAGATATAAAATTATTTTTATTAACTGCCACTGGAATTTCTTAGCTACTACTTAATGGTGGCCACCCTGTTGGAAAGCAAGGGCATTTATAGAAACAACAGTACAGAAACCTAACATAGAGTTGAGGGTCAAGCCCTGTTATCTTTATTCACTTGTGTTGTCTCATTAAAACGTTTCTGTCATTGAAACTTAAGATAAGAGTTGACCAAAAGGAAACCTGTACGTATTCTGCTTTAGTACTGTTATGCTATTGAAAAGAGAACTTGCATATTCGATACTAAAATGTTTCTTATTCACACGATGATCTCCTTCTGCTATTAAGCCAGTATTATGGCAGGTTGGGAATTGCTGTAGTCTGTTACCCTTGAACCAGAGATTTTCAAAGTAAAATGGACATTGCCAGCCATCAAGATAGAAGTGCAAATATTATTTTTTTAAATATTCTAATAATTTCACAGTTTACACTTAGCAGTTAGTGTATCACAGCTACTCTCTTGAAGATAAGAGACTTTGATGGTGGAAAAGTGATCATCTCCAGCTTAAAGGAAAGTTAAACCAAGAGAACCACTACTTTGTAATCATATATATATATGACCAAGTTCTGCCCTCACACTAGTGTCAATCAGGTGTAACTCCACTCAGTTAAAGAATGAAAGTTATTTAAAG